TGGGACCAGTCTAGGCCTTCTGCATACCAGAGACAGTTGTGTAGCTTGGTCTGTCTAAGAGGTCCCTGGCAGTGGGATCAGGATCTATCCCTGGTGTATGAACTGGCTTTCTGGAGCCCATACCTATCATGGGATGCCTTGCTCAGCCTTGACGAAGGAGCTTGGTCCTGCCTCAACTGTATGTACCAGGCTTTGCTGACTTCCCACTGGAGCCCTTACCCTTTTAGAGGGGGGGATGGGGGTGGGCTGGGGAGAAGAAGGCTGGGAGGAGTACAAGGAGGGATGAGAATTTTAAAAATTCTTTAAAAAAAGAAAAAATATATTACTTTAAGTAATACTTGTTTTGCCTGATGGTAAAATACGTATAAAGTAATAGATCAAGTAAATTGCTGTCTTGCACTTGATTAAATAACAAGTTACAGCTTAGAAAATAATATTCAACTTTTTATATTAACTGGATAATATTAAATACTAAGAACACATACAGCAACTTTCCCCTCAAAAATCACACACAAAGCACTTTAGCAAACTAAAGCTATTTGTTTCTTTTCTGAATAGGACTGTGTGAAATATTTCTGTATGACCAGTGAAGATGCAAATTGAAATGTCTTATGGTGGGCTTTTGCACAAATATTAATCTTTTCTCAATTGGAATTTTTCAAATGACACACCGTAAAGATTTCTCCATAGCTAAGAAGCTTGTTTAAAATATAAGTGAAAGCAAATAATTTGCACAATGTTTGAATCAATAAACCAAAATATATGCATATATGTGTCTTATTTTATGCTTTAAAAGACATTAAAGGTTGAAGTTAATATTACCGAATGGTATTCCTGGTAAAAATGTTACTTTAATAATGTAACGAAATAAGCACATCATTTTATTTTAAGCTTTATATAAATCAGCAACAACCAATGAGCTATAGATGCAATTTTAAGTTACCTGGTCAGAACTTAAAAAGGATTTTACAAAAGGGTACAATTTTAACCCTTATGGTATATATTTAATCTAACATATCAAAATACTATCAGACAGGGCATGTGGCATGGGCCTCTAATGCTAGTTCCTAAGGAGGCTGAGACAGGAGGATACCTAGAGCCCCCAAGTAGCGATCAGCCTGGCAGCAAAAGGAAACTCACTGTTCTGTTGCTGTGAAGGGACACCACGAACAAGGCAACTCTTATGAAAGAAAGCATTTAATTGGGAATTTTCTTATAGTTTCAGAGGTTTAGTATATTAACCAGTGGGAACCATGGTGGCATGCAGGCAGGTGCTGGAGCAGTAGCTAAGAGCTACATCCTGACCAATAGATCAGGGAGAGATCAATAGAGCAGAGAGAGAAAGACACTGGGCCTGGCATGGGCTTTTGAAACTTCAAAGCCCATCCCTAGTAACACACTATCCCCAGTAAGGCCACACCTCCTAATCCTTATAATCCTTTCAAATGGTGCCTCGCCCTGGTGACTAAGCATTCAAATATATGAGCCTATGGGAGCCATTCTTATTCAAACCACCACAGAGACCTTATCTCACATATATAACACAAAGAAACAAAATTACTTTAATTTTAATGTACACTCAATACAAAACAATATTTTATATCTTTTTATTCATACTAAGTTTGTAAACCTGGGTTCTATATTATGCTAACAGCATAATTTTGACCAGCCATATTTTAAGGGCTTGATGAAATAAATACAGTTCTGCACAGATCAAATGCATCTTTTTCCATCTTTACTTTTTCCTAATTCCTTGAAAGAGAGTAAACTTGTGACTATACGTGTAAGTAGCCCAGGAACTTTCTCATACAGCCTCTACCAATCCTTGCAGACTTATGAAATGGGAAGGAAAAATATCCAGAATTATGTAAGAAACACAACTATCAAAAAATGTTTTTAATTTTGAAATAATTTTTAATATCACCAGAAATTAGCCCCTTCTACTATCTTTTGTTTCTAAGGTAAAGTGATCTTCCTTAAATTAAGCCCTTTCTTGTGTACATGTTGGTGGCAAGCAGGGATTCCTGTCCTGCCCTGATATAATCTCGCAACCATTGTTCCCTCGGTACTTCCGGCCCTGCTAGCCTGGTCCATAACTCCCATGCCCCATCCTCCTGGTAGTCCTTTCCTCCAGCCCTGTTAGGACACCGTGGTTCTCTTTGGTTTCAGTGGTTCCCCGTTTTCCCTCATCTCCATTATGGCATGTACAGATGTCCCTGGGCTTATCTCTACCCTGAGGCCTGATCCACCCAGTCTCCCTTGATGTCCAGTTTCACCAAATTCCTCATGATGTACCAGAAACCACTGTCCTGGCCCACACTGTCAGGTTTCCCTCCATCACCAAGAAGGCGACCTTTCCTTGCCTCGGTGCTCTTGGTACTAGCTTCCTCAGGAAACCTGGATCGGCTCCAAGGTTGGTTCCGTGTCTGATCGGGAAGTCACGCCCTAGTACGCATGCGCTGAAACTAGCGCAGGCGCAGAGCTGGCTTTCTAGAAGTGCGTCCCTACCTCGGCGGCCTCGCTGACCTCGCGAGGGTCTCACGTGGGCCTCACGTGGGCCTGCGGTCATGGCCAGCTGGGTGTTCTGTAATCGATGTTTCCAGCCGCCGCACAGGAAGTCGTCCTTCAGCCTGACCAGCTGCGGGCACGTGTACTGCGACTCTTGCCTCCGCAAAGGTCTGCGTGGGCAGAGGAAATGGGCGAAGGAGGGTCGCTAGCCATGGTTCACAGGGTGGGTTTCCTCCCACGGGCGGGGCAGAGGCGAGAGACCTCTATGGGCCTGCACGGCTTCAGGACCACCGAACCCCCACTGGGATCCAGAGCTGGAATTGCAGAAAGCCAGCTGCTCCATACCTGGAAGCTGGTTTGCAGCGGCCAGTTGGTCAGATGTGAATGTTTTTGTTGTTGAAGTAAAGCTTCTGCGGAGGGGTGGGGGGTGAGAGGGTGGAGGGGTGCAGAAGCAGTGGGTTTTCACAAAGTGACCGACATGTTTAACTTGGCAAGTAAAGGAACAAGTACACCACCAATCCACGGAAGATTCTCGGAAACTTCGGGTTCATTTTGTTTCCCAGCCTTACCTTAATTGTCTAGGAATTTACACACAGTATTTTGTGTGAGCATTGTACATGTAGGTGTCACAGTCATGGAACTCTGCTGTGTGGTCACACTCCAAATTATTCATTAGTTGAACTAACATAGTTGTTTCCAGATATGTGACAGATGATGCTACTGTGAAAGTTCTGACTCGTGTATTTGTAGGTACATGCAACCAGGGGTAGAATTCCTGGTTTTCTGGTGTATGTTCTAAGAGGAAGCCTGGTGTGAAAAGTAGTCTGTAATGAGAGAAATTCAGTAGAAACTGTGTAGTGAGACTTGTGAGAAGCAATGTGATGAACAAGATGTAGCCCTGGGATCAGGAGAAATGGGTTTGGGGAATGCCAAGCAGATTCAACAGACTTAATTCAAGGAAGTAAGGAGCTGAACTCTTGCTGATGGATGCTGGACAGGGAACAACAGCAGAATGGAGGGCGAAGCTGGTAAGCTCACCTTAGAACAGTGGTTCTCAACCTTCTTAATGCTGCGATCCTTTAGTACAGTTGAAGTTGTGGTGACCCCTCCCTGCAACCGTAAAATTATGTTCATTGCTACTTCATAACTACTTTTGCTACTGTTATGAATCGTAATGCCAATATGTTTTCCGATGGTCTTAGGTGACCCCTGTGAAAGGGACCTTTGACTCACAAAGTGGTCACGACCCACAGGTTGAGAACTGCTACTTTAGACCCTATCTTGTGGGAGCTGGCTAGGGAGGAGACAGGAGGTAGTCCTGGTTGGGGATCTGGAATTCCTAAGAGTCAGGAATGTTAATGGTGAGTCAGTAACATGGAAGTGAGTGCCAAAGGATAAGGCAGGTGGAAAATACTACCACCTTGGGTAGTACAGTTTGTAGGTGGTAAGCAGAAACAGAAGAAAGATGTTAGGTAAAGAAGGAAGTAGAGGTGTGTAGGTGTCCTAGATTTTCTCCTGAGGTCAAAGAATCAGGGTTTGAAAATATCTACTGGGTCAGTGATAGAAGTCACCAATGATTTGAAATAAAGTTAAAACAATTTAGCACATAACCTAAAGATATGTGCCTTCATGATGTTGCAAATTACAGGGCCCCACCCAACACTGGTGTGGGTGACTAGTTTAGGGTTTTGGATGTGGGCACATCAAGGTACTTCTGGCTCTTGAATCATGAAGCCTACATAGATTCCAATATCCTGAACTTATTCTTTCAAAAACCACAGGTACTGCATGTTGGAAGTATATCAACCCCAGAGACACACAAAAAAAGTTGGAGGAAAAGGATAGGGGCCTCTAGACAATCTTAACTTAGCTAGTTCTAGTGATTCATGTTCACACACTCTTGTTAAAATCTGATATCCTCCCAGATTTTTCAGGTAATACATTTTTTTAAATTTTTTACTTATTTTTATATGTATGGGTGTTTTGCCTGCATGTATGTCTGTGCACCCTGTTTGTGCCTGGTATCTGCAAGGTCATTGACTCTTCTAGAACTGGAGTTAGAGAAGGTTGTGAGACACCATGTGCTGAGAATTGAGCTTAGGTCCTCTAGAAGAGCAGCTAGTGTTATTAACTGCTGAGTCATCTATCCAGCCCTTGATGGAAATTTTGCGCGCGCACACACACACACACACACACACACACACACACACACACACACACACGAGTGCACTGGGTGTCAGGAGAAAGGATACTACTGTAAAATCTAATTTAAGTATTGCTGACACTTAATGGTCACTGTTGTGGGGGCACATTTACAAAGCAGAAAAGTAAATGGTTGTATAAAGTGTTTCACTGAGTCCACAGCCTCATCACATAAGAACGTTAAAAACATTTAGACATGGTAATCCTGCATTCTAACTCAGGCTGTGTTCACACATATTTCACAGCAATGTTCAGTATAATGTAATTAAACGTTTGTTTTTCTTTGATAGGTAAAAAGGATGAATGCTTGATCTGTCAAGTTCCTTGTCAAACAGTTTTACTTTCGAAACATGTAAGTTGAAATCTCTAGAATTTGATTATTCATTATAGTATTATTTCCTTTTAACTTGAGTTTAAACTTTTAGTAACTAATATCTGAAATTTTTATTCATTTTGCTAGATTAACTAATGAGACGTGTGAGTAATAAAGCATAACAGGATTTGGTTTTGCTGTTTGTTCTGTGATTTAGTTTTACTGTTGATTGATTTTGGTTGATTGATGTTTGTTTTTAATTTTCTTTATTTTTGTTTAGTTTTGCTAAGTAAAATGTGTTTGTCATGTGTTTGTCACTGTGTCATCCAGGATATCCTTAAACACAAGATCCTTCTGCCTTAGCTTACTGAGTGCTGACATTACAGACATGAGCCTCCATATCAATCAAGATTTGGTTTTAAAACCTCATTATGCTTTCCTTCTTACCCACAGGTTGGCCTTATTCACAGTTTATTGGATTGTGCTATGTTCTTAGAAATGAAAATGGGTTAGATTTCCTTTATACAACACTGGCTTCCTAATTGGGCAAGTTTGGTTTTTCATAAAAGTTATAATGAATAATTAAGAGCATTGTTCATAATGTAAGTTAAAGTCAATTATTTGCTCCATTGTCTCAAACCAGTGCCTTTAGTTCTATCTATAAAATATGTCAGATTAATTTATTCTTTGGTATAAACTTCTTATCAAATGATTTGTCTCTTCTATGCCTGTTCTCCAAATATATATTTGAACTGCTATTTTTAAACATGATTTTTATAACAAAAACAGAGTTACCCAACAACTCAGACAATATAGAAAGTCATAACAGAGAATGTAGCCATCCCCAGATCCTGTCCAAAAGATGACAACATCCAGGAGTAGCATCTAGTCCATGTATCTTATGACTTTTCTTTTTACAGAATGTTCTCTAAATGATGCCATGTTTGGAGTACATTCTTTTTACATGGTTGTATATCTTACTGTTTTCCTTTTAAACAATCTGGGGTGTTTTTTTTTTTTTTTTTTTTGGTTGTTGTTGTTGTTGTTTGGTTTTTCGAGACAGGGTTTCTCTGTGTAGCTTTGTGCCTTTCCTGGAACTCACTTGGTAGCCCAGGCTGGCCTCGAACTCACAGAGATCTTTCTGGCTCTGCCTCCCGAGTGCTGGGATGAAAGGCGTGTGCCACCACTGCCCGGGTAAACAATCTGTTTTATCATGGGTTTTTTTGTCTGTTTGTTTTGCCTTACACTCATCATTTTTACCAATTTCTGTCCAAAATTGCTAGAGTATTTATATGGCATAAATTCCTAGAAGTAGAAAAAAGGGAAAATATTTAACTTTTAATAGAAAGTACCTTATTTTTCTCAAAACACTTAACACACTTAACAGTTTGAATTCCTTGTAAATGCCATATTCTACTGTTTACGTAGCTCTGCAGCACCCTTTTTCTTCCATAAGGCCAGGGTCAGTCTGGAAAGAGAACCTCTGACTTTGACCCTTCTCCAGCTTCCTGGATTGAATATTTAGGCCATTTGTTTCCCTTTGTTTGTTTGTTTCTTTCTTTCTTTCTTTTTCTTTTTTTTTTTTTTTTTTTTTT